TTTTACAAGCCACATGCCACAGATGCTGTGGATAGAGCTTAACTTGTTTTGAACCCAGAACATTCCTTTAATTAGCATGATTTCCCTGAATTAATAAAAATCCCAGATTATATTTACTCATTTCATCAGCGTGTGACGGATGTTATGTCATTTATAGATCGTAACCTTCAGGCTTGTTTTTGCTCATTCGCAGTCATGCCGCAGACATTATGGAGACCGCAGGCTGGAAAGCGATGATTCAGTCCCATCCTCACTTAGTGGCCGAGGCATTCCGGGCTCTCGCTTCAGCCCAGTGCACCCCTTTTGGTCTGCCTAGGAAACGGCTAAAACAGTCCTGACCTTTGCCCTCACAGACTGCTTAGAACAAAACGCATGAGGAGGCAACTACCCCACAGAGCCCGATTTCCCCCTCCTTTTTGCCCCCCTCTTCACTCACCCGTCGCCCTTACCAGAGACCGGATAGAGGAGCTAGTTCAAACCACAGTGCTCAAAAAGAAATGGACTTCGCCATGCTGTTTACTTTGGGCATCATTTCAAAAAATGGCCTTAAAGGATCTGCCCCTTCGCTCCTTGGTGTCTCTACTTGTAGCTACGTGCCTGCTGCGACTGATCCCAGACCTGTCTGGACTGCACTAGCTCCCACATAATGCAGTAGTTTTAACATGGTGGTGTTTAGGACCTTATATGTTACATGTTCTTGAGGGGTGAAGGTTGCATTAGGCCTTCTTGTGAACTTGTGGTCTGACATTTCCAAAAAACTAACAACACAAGTGTACACTCACTAAACGCATACCCACGCACACGCATCGAGTGCAAAGATCATCTCCACTGACACTTTTAAAGTGATGATGTTGCTGGCAGAATGTCTCATTGTATGTCTATCATCATTAAAATTGGCGTAAGTATTAACTGAGGTTGTGCTGTAGAATACTTGGTGAAATGTGATAATTCACATTATGAGTATTACACGGCTAAAGACGTCGATATTTTGCACCAACTTAAACTAATGGTAAATATGAAGATTTGTTTACCGTGTTGTTTACAGAACTTGTTTTCCCCTTTTTCGCAGTTAGTTTTGACTTTAGTTGAAGTTATTTTCCATGGTTTAACATACTCTATGGATCAGGAGAGTTCTTTGTGTTTGAAAAAAAAATTTATTGTGGTTCAAAAGAAGTTTGATTTATTGCTTTGGAAATAAAATGGTGAAAAAATGTCCTGGTCTTACCGTGATATTTTTTTCCTCCTTTTCTTTATTCATGTTTTTTTTTTCATCTGTCTCTAAAAACAGCTTACCTTTTTGCCTGATGTCACCAAATCCTCTTCTTTGAACAGCCATATAGATCAGATTTCATGACCCATAAAAAAGAAAACAACAAAGCCAAATAACAAAAGAATCATGTTGACTTAAACATTTAAAATGCACTTAATATTAAATTGGTTGTTCAGCAAAATGTTTTGAGAAAAATAATTAGTGATTCTTCCCTGCATGGAAAGTTGATCAAAATGACTATTTAAATATTGTCTATTTAAAATATTTTTATTGGCACAATTTTCCAATCAAAAGCCTTTAGTTAGCTTTCAGTTGGCAGACGATTATATTAAAGGGAAAAAATATATATTACAATTCTGTCCCAATTGTAATGGTTTTAGCTTGATTTTGTTTTTGACGGCAAGTTTGGAATCTTTTGAAAGTTTCAGAATATCAGTACCTTTAAAAACTCTCCTGTCAAACCATGTGTGGAGCTGTATGATCTTTACGGTACACTAGCATGTTGCAAACTTAATTGCTTTGGTCTGTGGCTTCTAAAATCATTTGAATGAACTTCTATAAATCTTCTCTACTTTTTTAGTCTTTAAACATCTGGAGATGACTTACGCTGAGATCAAAGCCAGCGAGCTGCAAATCCTCAAAAGCCCTGCTCATCAAGCAATGAGATTACAGACTCTCACCGACGTGTACATTTTTCATATTAGAGTTTGTGCATATGATCAGACCTTTGTGAATGAAACCATTTTTTTCTGCTGATGTGAGAATGTCATATTTGTTTTCATTGGGCAGAATTTACAGAAGTTAATGGCTGTTCTGCAATGAGACTCTTCTGGTAGAGTCAGAGGGATACTGAAGATTTTGTTACAAACGTGGTACAGTTTACTGCTCAAGCTTTGTCTGACTTTTTTTTGTTTGATTGCATCATCTGTGCAAGGATTTTTATCCAACTTGTGAAGTTGTACACCAAAAATCTGCTGACAGTCTTTGAGTCAAAGAAAAACTACACAAGGGAGCATTCTGGAAATTAAAATTTTGTATTTTCTTTAATAACTGAAACAAAATACAAAAAAACTGAGGAGCACATTATGGCTTTAACATTAATCTGAGTTATTGACAACGTTTCTGTGAACACAAAAATATGTTGGCATGAAAAGGAGGGCATCACAAATGGCTGCAATACAAGATGTTTTACATTGTTCTGTTATTGAATTCCAGCTTATGTTGATTGGGAAATTTGTTTAGGATCTTTTAAAACGTCACTGATGACATCACAAGAGTCACTGAGAAAGGGTCAGGGGTCACTGTGGAAACCATAGATGTGTTGGTCTTGTCCAATCTAAATGTCAACCACACGAACCAGGTCTTGAGCCTGGATTCACCCAAAAATATAACCATTTCTCATTCACTCATCCTCATTTTGTTCCAGACATTTTTCTGTGGAAAATTAATTTTTTTGGTGAACTATTCCTGTCATCGACTGCCCTAGGAGGACAAGCAAGATATAATCATCTGACCTTGCTTCCATTTTTCCGGTTCTTTATGGAACAGAAGAAGGAAACTACAGACTAGAGAGGCTGTAACAATGAGATGACACCTCAGTTACCTTAACACATCCAATCTAGGCTGTGCTATCCCACAGAGGTATAGGGAGTGTCACTGTGGTAGTTGTAATCTGGGCAGACCTTCTGTACTAGCTTGTAGTCAGCACTGAAGAAGTCAATGTAGATGCAGATGACCTTGAAGGGCTTGGAGCAAAGCCAAGACACGTGGCTTTGGGTCTGTTCCTGGAAACATACCCTGTTTGGGAAGTCGCTGCAAACGGACGTCCTCTTGCTGCGGTCCGTCTTCTCGTATTCCACTCGACAATTGAAGGCCTTATTGTCTTTGGGTACCTCTATGGTCTCCTGTTGAGTGATCTCAAAATCGACAGCCTTGGAGGGCGGAACCAGGCTGACAGACACGTTGCCCAGGCCGGTGGAGTTGTGGCGGAAATAGACGCTAAAGGTTCCGTTGCCATGGTCAACGATTTTCCCAGTAATGAGAAGGTTTAGCTTGACCGTTTTAATGTTCGAATGGAAGTCGCCCCAGCCAAACATCTTCTTAAACTTGCCTGTTTTCACATAGGGGCGACGTTTGGCCCTCGAGAGGGTTCCTTCGGTATCAGTGTGGTTGGATAACCAAGCCCACAGATCCAGTGCCCCGGGATCCGGAGCACTTTCACGGCTCTGGCTGTTAGATTGGGACGTGTGGGAGAAAAGCCGCAGGGATTTGAGAAACCCTGAACGAGAGCCGTAAGGAGAGACACTTTCCTCCTTATCGCTCTCTTCCCAACCCAGAGGAGACACAGCTGCTCTGAGCTCTGCTCCACATGTCACCTTCAAAGACAAAACCAGGAAGAGAAATGTTAAACGAAGAGGTTGTAGATGCTAATGTATCTTAAGAAAACTAAAGATCCAATCCAGTCCAGTGGACAAACATAAAGGTTTTTCCCAAAGACATTCAAAAACTACTCTACTTCCATATTTCTGCAGAACTTTTATCTATTGAGTTTTAACTGTGCAAATAAAAAGACATTTCAGACACACTTTGGGATTTCTATGATCATTACACTAGTGGAACCCTTCGGAGAACTGCTAGGATACCTTCTGAAGGTGCTTCAGATATACTAGTGTGTACACAAGGAACTTTCTCTTATGATGGGGTTGCTGGAGTTTCCACACTCAAAGTTCTTTACTGACATTTATGATTCCATGAAGAACCTTTAATATTCATGGAATCTTTCCATTCCACAAAAGCCTCTTTATAGTGGATTTTTCAATTGTTCTTCACTAAGAAAAATGGACGCTGATAAGTTCTTATTCTATAACATCGCTATGAAAGCTTTACTTTTAAGAGTGCAATATAAGAGTTCTTGCAGGAACTAATTTCCATTTTGAATGTTCTTCAGAGAACTTCCCTTTTAGAAAGGGTGCCTAGAGGTTCTCCAGAGGGTTCTACCAGCAATCTAAGAAACCCTACATAATGCCTCAAGCATATTTACATGAAAAGTGGTCAATCCATACCACTGTTAAAATGAGAAGATGCTTGAGGCACCATCCTGTCAAACCAGAAAAATGCTCTAGGAAATTTTTTAGGTCGCCTCAAATACCTAGACCACAAATGTGTACTAAGAATGAGTTGCCTTTAAGCATAAAATATTTAGAGTTAGTGAACACTTATATTAGGTTATTAAGGTTTTAAGAATTCTCCAAATTCCAAACACTGATGTGCATGTCCACATTTACACCTCACATGTGAAATTATAAATGAATAATTACTACAGTATAACATGAATAACATTCCAGCTAGTTTAGAGGCGAAATCAAAGGAGATGCACCACTACATAAATAATCAAAACATAAAAAGGGGATGGGAAACTGAAAGCTGCATGAGACAGCCCTGTTTTAAATGATGCAAACAGGATGTAACATCTCCGAAGTATGAAACTGTTCACTGCAATGCAAGTTTACTACTGACACAATAAACACTATCTACCTCAAGCCTAAGCCTGAAACCCACAGTCACACACCCAGCAAAACTGGTTCCTAAAACACACCCACGACTCCTGCTAGCTTTTTTTAGTCTGGAGTTTCATATTATTACTACAGCCAATCAATGTGATTGCTTTGTTTTGCACTGCAGAAATGGTGAAATATGAATGAACGGAAAACAGCAGAGGAAAGACCAAAGGAGCAAGATCAGGGAGGAGCTGCCCTACTCTCATTCTCGCCATCTTTCAACGAAGCTCAAAAGCCTCTCACATATACTTTCAAAGGCACAAATTGATAGAACGAAAGAGTGTATATGTCCCAAAGGCTGTTTAGTCCCCACCTCCCCAAGTCTCAGCTTTCTCCATCATTTCCCTTTCATTTTCATTTTCAAAAATAAAAAAACCAAGGGGGTACATATTTAGGAGACACAGATAATTTGTGCGTTCACTTCATAATTCAAACCCGCGATGGTGAATGAGAAATAAAACATTCAGTGCATGAAAATCTGCTGTTTGTTCATTTCAGTATCTTGCAAATTCATGATCCACAGAACAAAACAACTACCAACATCCTCTGGAGAGACATGAAACGCCAAATGTATAAAACGAAAAAGAAAAGAAAAAATTAAGCAGAGCAAAAACAGGTTACTTTGATCAATCGTAATAAATCTGTGGAATAAATTAAACTGAAAATAAAATATGATGGGGGGGGGGGGACTTACAAAAAAACACGCATTTATTTATTTTTATTTATTTATAAATTAAGAGATTAGGGACTGAAATAAATACATTTTATTACAGTTCAAGGATGGAAATAAATTAAGGGAAAAAAGAACTAACGATAAAAATCAGACTTTGTGATTGCAGTGAAAACAAACTCTCTTGAGAGAGGATTTAGGGCTGAGCCATCATCCACAGGTTGTCATTTCATCTTCATCTGGCTTAAACTGGTTTCTGGGATCAAGTCTTAAACGGTATGTTGGGTTTGTGAAGTCAATTCATATGCATTCAAATTAATATTTGGAAATAAAAACACAATCACACACACACACTTTGTTCTCCTTTGAGAAATAAGCAAACTGATGGATTAAAGCCCTGCGGAAACTGGATTATTCAAAGATTTACAGAGGAAATGAGACAAAAAGCCACGGCATATTCTAAAAGCATATTTGGATTATACAAAGAGTTTTGTCTCTTTCAAAAAAATTTTAATATAATATAATGTATTATTTAAAAAAAATAAAATAAAACTCATGTTTCGCAAATACAATACTTAAAAAAAAAATAACGACAATGAAGACGACTGGTTATTATAGAGATAAGTATTAGTTACAGCAATAATAATAATAATAATAATAATAATAATATACAGTGTCTTTTTCCATCTTTCACCAGTAATACACCCTGGGAGAAGAAAAGGTTAATTCGCTTAATTAAATAAATACTGCAAACGAAAATACTGCAGTAGTCACATTTAAAACACAATAAAACAAACTTTGCTTTAACTAAAATAATTAAAATAAAATTCATACCATGTGCAAGCAGAGCATAAGCAGGGCAGAGTAACACTGACACATCCTCATGTGTTTTTTGAGTCCAGATCTGGCTTATTAAAGATCAGGTCGACTCGTGGCAAGGTCTTCTGTCAGTATTCCTAAAAACACAAAAGCTGTCATGCTTGAAGATATGAGGAAATACATGAAATTAGTGTTAAGAAAAAACAAATAACAAGAAAATGGGCAAACTTTACATTTGCATTAACGGTATAATCATGTTAGCAAATAACAGGTTGAAACGTACATGAATGTATACAAGAAAGTATATAAAACTGGTCAAGTTTACTGGCTTAATTAGGCTTCTACCATTTTATTAACCTTTTAACTTTTCTTGCAGATTCTGTAGTGTGAAAAATAAATGTTAAAAATTACAAACACACCATGTAGACTCTAATTAAATGAAGTTTGATGTTGTTTAAATTGGTTTGAAATGAAGTATAAAATGACACTGCAGGAAACTGCTGTCACAGCTTGAAATGTCAAGTACCCGACAATATTGTCAGCACTGAGAAATACTGTATTAAATGAACACGCAATTATTTTGTGAAGAGGATTATAGTTATTCTTTGTTATATAAATTCATTCACCAGGGGTAACAAACTAAGCAATGCAAAAGAGTTACCAAATAAATAAACAAATAGAAAATTGTTTAATATTAATAACAATAATTAGTTTCAGAATAACTCACCCTTTTACTGTAGAGTTGGATCCATACATCTCTGTGCGGTGAGCATCCTTACAGTGTAGTTATCGTAGTGCTTAAAGAGATGAAGACAAATATCACTCCTCAACAGTCCAAACTCAAAGTGACCAGCAATAAAAACTTCTTTGCATTTGATTAAAACAATATAATCTTCATCTTTACTCAGCGAGGCTCGTGTCCAGCTGCATTAAATCCTCTTAGCTCTGCTCATCTGGCTGCATGCCTTTCCACTGCAACACTCACATATCCTAACACGATTATGTTTGGATGCGATTGTCCATCCAAAAGAAAAAATATATAATAATAAAACTGCTCTCTAAGCAGTCCCCTAGGTAAAAGTCCAGTTTTGCTGCATCCTTGCCCGCTCGCTCTTCATAAACTGATGTTGTGTGATGGATCAGTGCGCTTTTGGGTTGTGGCAGTGGAGTCACTGAGCCCAACCCCTCAACATCAGCACCAATAACAGCACACATCACGTTTTAAAGCTTTTTTAATGTATGTAAAGTCATTTAAAACCACTATGTGTTAACTTGGTGCTAAGAAGTACTTTGATGGCTCATAAAACAGCAGAAGACTTGCCTTGCGGGCAGAGTTTATATTGTTGTGTCAAAAGTACTATTCAGAAGCATTTTTGCACTTTTATCATCATGAAACTCTGCAAAAAATAAAGCACACTTTATGTAAATATAACAGTTAATAATTAATAGTTAATATTGGAATAGTTATCGGCTAGTCTAATGACAGTGAATGTTTCTCAGGGTGGCATGGTAATAAAAAGCTAATGAAACTTTAACCCAAATATAAAAAATAAAATTTAACCGACATTTATCTTATCCTACATAGTGTGCAACTGGGGCTTCTTTTTGATCTTTGACCATGATCTTTTTCTGCCAACCAAGGGTGAAAAAACTGGTCGGCTTCTTAGTAAGCAAAGCAATTTGACATTATTCAAAGCAAGGACAAAACATTATGCTAGTTCTACCATTCCTTTTGGTGTTAAGACTGTTCAATGAATGTAATGTGGATGCTTAGGGTCCTTTTTACAGTTGTATTTGTACGTTTTAAAACTTTTTATGCTTATGTGCATGTGTTAATAGATGTATATTTTTCTTATGTATATCGTTTTTGAGTAGTATTATTGAATTTGTTTTGAAAATGTAGTTTTTATATTTCTCTGGTATCTTTGTATTTTATGTTTTTTCCTTGCGATTTTATCTTTCAATGTATTTCCTGCTATAATTCAATCTCAGTATTGCTAAGCAGAAAAGTAAATAA